GCACGACAAGCAACACAAACTCCGTCCACACCGTATGAGGGTGTTACTATTCCTTGTTCTTATCGAACAAAGAACGATAACTTTCACACGACGAGAGCGAAGCACGATATCACTGTACAATGCACATAGTAACACCCTCATAGGGGGTGGACGGAGTTTGAGTTGCTTGTCGTGCCTTAACTCTGTCTTTCTCGAAGGAAACCACCTGACGAGACCCTTGAGAAAGGTCGAAACCGGTCATGGTACCTTCTTTGATTCTTTCAGAAATGAATTCTATCTGAGTCTCTAGTAACTAAGAAGGCGGTCGTAAAATTACTAAATATAATTAAAAGTTTACTCGAAGCTCACATTTCCGCACTTACGTCAATTCCTTCTTCATGTATGCAAAAAGACATTACTTTCTTTAAGAATTCGTTTTTTTACTGTTGTTAAATTTTCAGATCTTTTCTTAAGTTACTTCATTTATTTTCTATATCTATGCATGATCGAAAATTATCTCAAAATATGTACGATTTACGCCAAATATCTACGTCTTTGCTACTTTCCATCTTAAGTAATTTGTGCAATTTCTCCGATAATCGTAATAAGTCAATTATATTCGAATGTTTAGATAATTAGTAATAAAAATAAACAGATTCTGCGCTGCCAAACTCAAATCAATAGGTTAATGCACCGTCTTGTGCATTCGATAAGTCAAGAAAGAAAAGTTTGCCCAGTTTTGCGCATTCAAAGTTCATGCAGCTTATAGAGTAGTCAGAACGATATTTGATAAAAATCTGAATCAGATGTGGTGCTGAGGAAACTGGAAAACCCAATATATCGAAGTTCTTAGGAAGCAAACAATCAACTCTTCTCCTATATTTTATATTCGAATTAGGAAATCTTTTCGTGCAATTTAAGTCCAATACTATATACTGTGAATCTGTAAATTGTTTTTTTAAGTTTGAAACCTTTTCTGAAACTGTTAAACAAAATTTTGGAGTCAAAGTCTTGCCTATAATATCGTGTTAAATGGCCTTTTTTGCTTTTCTTTTTTCTATCTCGTTTTTCATTGATTTCAAAGAACTTTTGTTGATACATATTCCATATGTCCATATTTGAAAATCAATAAAAGCTTGCTTTTCACTTTCTGATGAAATATCTGCGTTAGTGCCCATTATATATCGGGTAATTTTGAAAATCAGTCAGTCTAATTTCAGTTATTTGACTTTTGTTTTTTTCAAAAATCCAACAATCCGATATCATATTATTTGAGATATAACTGATTCATTACAGTTGCAACTAATGTGAATATATTGCCTAAATTCCACGTGGAATTGAGGCAATACAAATAAAAAATACGATGATCGGAGTTATATCGTTTTTATTCTTTCCGAATTTCGATATTGTCAAAATTCAGGTGGCGAAATTCCGGTTGTTGAAGTTCTAGTAATCCTGATAAACCATACCTTTGAGATTATTTTTCAATCTGATGTAATATTAAGAGTGTAGAATATTTGGACCCATCCGATTCAGATGCCATTGGGACTTAGACTTTTACTCAACAACAACAAAATAGCGTTTTGTTAACTGCATTGTAAGTTACATCGTACCAGCATCCCTTGTCGTCGACCAGTATTTGAGAGAAAAGTTTGCTAGGTTTAAGCCCGTGAGCAAAACTATAATGGTCTGCGGTGATTTCACCGATAGACGCCAGTTATGACAAGATCAAAGAAATAATGATGAAGGGATCAGGCTGGCATCCTTTCTGACTGGGATAGACTAACTTAGCATTTTAAATCTATTCGGCATCGCAACCTCTTCTAATAGTCGTAGTCACATAGGTATAATTGATTTAGTACTATGTACGAATAAGATGATGAAATTATTAAAATTATTAAATTATGTAAGAATAAAAACTGTGGCAGAGCTAGCAGATCGCAATTCTAATATAATTCCATTCCAACTGAGATGGAATTATAATAATGCGTACTAGACAAGATCTACCAACTTTCTAATAGAAAAGTCAAAAAGGAATCCTTCATAGTTGTGTGGCCCTCACTAGTAAAGAGGATCAAGCAGAAAATATAAATCATATCATACTGCAGTGCGTATATTCTGCTAACTTCAGAAAAATTGTAACAGACTTGTTAAATTCCTGGTCGTACTTACTATTGACTGAGGAACGTAGAGAAACAAGAAAAGCTTGTAAAAGATTTAAAGAACATCGATTGTCGTACAATTACGAAAATTTTCTTCAAGTACAACAAGATTTGCTAGAGACCTGCGGCTTTCACTATTCGAAGTGAGTTGTTCGTGTTAGTGCTTGCCATCATGCAGAAAGACAATGGGGTCGACAATGGGGACAATGGGGTCGAAACTGCCAAGAAGTTAATTGCTGCATGGTTTAATACTTGTTTAATTTTCCACGAAGAAAATCGACCGTCGATGTTATGAATTGTAATTTGATTAGCAAATCTACGTTGATGTTGTTTAAATGCAGCCGCTTTGTTTTTTAATTTCTTTAATTGTTGAGCGGTTAATTTTGGTCGCTGATATTGAACATGAAGGGAAGACGACGGCTGTGATGGAATTACGACAGAAGAGAGGCGTGGAGGTGGTGAAGACGGTTGGTGGAGTACTTCGTCCGGTGACGAAGTGATGTTTACTGTCAATTCTATGCCATTATCAGACGGAGGAACGAAGTCAATAGCATTTGTTGTTGCCGGGTCGTTCGTTGGTTCTTCGTCAACCGAAATAAATGAGTAGGCAGGTGATGGGGGACGTGGATAAAGAATAGGTAGTAATGATTGGATAGCGAGACAATCATAAGCAGCATATGTTGATAATTGTTGACGATAAGCTTGTTGTTGTGATGTTTGACTGTATAAGCGAGCGTCAAGACCTATAGCAAATGGAGAGAGAGTGAGAGATTTATCCAACCATTTACCTGTGGCACCGGCAATAGCATCCATTAATGACCACGGATCATTGGGATTCTGATGAATACATTGTTCACAAAAACAATCGCTTTCACAATGAATGTAGTTGTCTCTGACAAATTGTTTGAAACCATATATCAATGAATTTATTTCTTAAACAATCGTCGAACAGTTTTTTTATCAATGTGCATTGATTCCAGTTTGTTGGCGGTAAATGTTTAACTTCGACGATTAATATTGTTGTTGATGATTCTCCTTCATGAAGAATCTGAATTTGTATTAATGCAGGTTCATTCATTTGACCATGTTTGGTGATTGATTCTGTGTCAATCAAAATTGTAGCATTTTTTACTTCCATAATATAATTTTCCAGTTGACGGATGGTTGTTTTCTTGTTGACAAATTCAATTTTATAATTTGATGGACGAAATGCTGGAAATTTCAAAGAGTACTGATAATTTTTGATTTGTTTGCGTAATTCTCGTCGTTTGGATTTTGTTAATGTTGTATTTTCTAAACGATATTCTGCTTCTTCAAACTGTTGTTTTGTGAATACCATGCTAAAGCATTGAGAAAGAGATAGTAACGATTCTGTTAGAAGAATCTCATCAGTTGAAAACGACAGGGTTCTTGTAATGCTTCTTGGGCGATGTCCTCCATGAATAGCTCCACGATTTTGAAGTGCTAGAATGATCATTGGTCTTTTCTGTCAAAATCGGCTCGGAATCTGCACTTCCTTACTAAATTCTAAATTCTAGAAGTTTAGAATTGCGAAAAGAATCGACTGTTCAAATGAAATCTAAACCTTTAATGCAAATCACCAGGTAGTGATTGAAATAGCCAAGTAATGAGCATAGAAGACGCTGTAATAGCCCATCGAGTCAGTGAGCACGACTAGTTCACTCCCCGGCTCGCATAACTAAATCGCACGTCTTCCCAGGCTAATCACCTGATAAGTTTCAATCAAAACTGACTGTTTAACATTTTTGATCGTCAACGATTCTCTCTTTGAAGAATCTTAATTTTTTCTTTCAAACAAAGGAACTAAAACGTCGACAGTGACTTGTTGACGTAACGTTGGCTTTTTTACATGCTCTGCGATAAAGGTCTTCGATGTCAACTGCTGAACGATTCGAAATGGGCCTTCGAATCTAACGTCAAACTTGTGACGTGGGTTCAATGTTTTAACTAAGACGAGATCTTGCAATAAATATTTTGGATCTGATCGATTCCGATCATATCGTGCCTTATATTCACGTTGATTTTTGATGGCGTTGTCCTTCGCTTTAACTATTAGTGACGATAGGTATGAATTTCATTTGGATAAATGCTCAGGATCTTGAGAGGGCACAACATTAGGATCTTGGTGATCGAATGGAAGAATCGCTGTTCTTCCGAACATCATTTCAAATGGAACTTGTTTTGTAATCGAGTGAATGGAGGTGTTGTAGCTGAATGTGACAAATGGCAGCTGGTCGTCCCAGTCTGTTTTGTTTGGGTTGCACAATGTGCCAATTTTTGCGTCCATTGTTGAATTAAATCGTTCTACCTGTCCGTTCGTCTGCGGGTGGTAAGGTGTGGAAAAAATGTGAGTAACGCCAAACTCCTGAAATATTTGTTCCATTAATTTTGCGGTGAAATGGCTGTCGTTGTCACTAAGTATCATTTTGGGTGTGCCGTATTTTGTAATGACATCTTCCTTCAAAAAACGAACTGCAGTGCTTGCTGCACAGTCACGTACGGCGCGTGTAATGACGGATTTGGAGAGGACATCGGTAATGGAGATGATGTATTTGTTACCACGCTTTGAAGTTGCTTTGAAGTTTTGAATATCTTTTACCATAGAAGGCCAGAAATAACGTTGTTTATTTTATGAATTGTCTTATCACGTCCAAAATGAGATCCATTAGCAGCTGTATCATGACAGATCTTTAAAATTGACGATCTAATTGCTCCTTTTGGTACGAATGGAACAGGTGGTTTAGTAGCACGAAATAGAAGATCGTCTTTGAGAACGTACTGCTTATGCTCTTTAATATCAAAAATGATTTTTTGTGCTGCTTCGTCGATCCTCTGAGCACGTTTCAAATCTTCTAGACTGAATGGAACTATACGATTGTCGTCACTGAAAATCCTTGACAAGTCTTGCCCGACAGAAGAAGGAGACGATGAGGGTTGTTGTTGAGCTGGTTGCAGTTTAGATTGGGCACGAGTGACAGCACCGACAACTGCGCGCACTTCTTCGTCTGTTTGTGTAGATTTCGTTGTATTCTAGACGATCTCGTCCGGATCTTCGACAGGAGATCTTGACAAGTAATCCGGCATTGCGTCGTGGCTTCCCCGGATGTAATTAATCTTAATATCGTACTCAGCAATTTTAAGTCGCCAACGCTCACACCGCTTATTAACTTGAGCTTTGTTTTTTAAATGAACTAAAGCTTGGTGATCAGTATCCCAAGTGAATTTTACTCCACTGAGGTATACATGCCACTTATCCAAAGCGCACATCAATGCAAAAGATTTCTGCTTAGTAGGACTCCATTTTCTCTGAGCTTTTGTAATTTTTTTTGATAGGTATCCAACGGGACGATCTCCTTCTGGATAGATCTGTAACAATACAGCTTCTATGCCTTCATCTGAGGCATCCGTTTGCAGTTTATACGGATAGCGATGACTTGGCAATCGAAGGACCAAATCGGATGTCAAAATCTTCTTTAATTCTTCGAATGACTGCAATTCTTCTTTTGTCAAAGTGATTTGTGTTTTTTGCTGCTTCCGTCGTTGAGTTTGCGTCGTAGGCACAAATTTTCTAAGTGGTTCTGCGATGATTGAGAAGTGTGAAATAAATTTTCGATAGTACTCAGCACCTTTGACAAATCTACATGCTTCTGCAGCTGTTGTTGGAATTTGCGTCTTCAATAGGCCTGAGATATTCTCCGAACTCGGCCTAATTTCTCCATGTTTCACTTCACGACCTAAATAATTTGTCTGCGTTTTAGCAATTTCACATTTTTCTGAATGTAAACGAAATCTCGCACGTTCTAAAATATCACAGATCTCATTTAGGTGTAATAAATGTTCATCGACTGTTCTGGAGTATATGATGATATCATCGATGTATGCCTACGCAAATTTCCACCGTGCCGGACCTAAAATTTGATTAATTATTCTTTGAAAAACCGTGGGTCCATTTGTAACACCTTGAGGAAGGACAGTGAATTGATAGTGGTTGTCACGTGTTGAAAACGCAGTCTTTTGACGATCCTCCTTGGCGAGAGGGATCTGAAAATATCCGCTTCGAAAATCTAATTTCGTATAAAACATGGAATCGAGCTGATCGAAAATTTCTTCAATTTTTGGCAAGGGAAATTTATCCTTGATGGTGATTTCATTAAGTCGACGGTAATCAACACAAAATCTTACGGTCTTGTCCTTCTTTTTTACTAATACAACTGGCGAAGACCACAGCGACGTTGACTCTTCAATCTGTCTTCGTTCCAATAGTTTCTTTATTTCCTCCATTTTGATTTGTTGGTCTTTCAAAGACGCCAGATATTGTTTCGAGTAGATTGGAGGATGGTCTACAATTTTGATTGCTGTCTGAGGTGGTATATTGATTATTGATGGGGCTGAATCAAATATCTGCTTGTGTTTTCATAATATATCTTCAATTTGTTTTTTTTGACGTGCATCTCCAATGTGTTGAACTAATTTAGCTATATTCTTTCGAACTTCTTCTGGATAGCAAGAATCACGAAGATGCGTTTGAAGATCGTTACCAGTAAGAAAACTCTGTCGACATTTCACACACTGGTGATTCATATTCAAGCCAGCGTGTTTCGCAGTGAATAATGGTTCGTTATTCACAGCTGCGCGACGATTCGAGGAAGAATGCGTCATTGTGAAGCACACTTCGAATCTTGGGTCTATTGAAATGACTCCGACTTTCATATTTTTCGACAAGGTTCTAGGACGATTCTGTGGATTTATCAGTAGAATCTTAGTAGTGTGGTTTTTCACGTTAAGTAGAGTATTAGGAATTAGAATCAAGTTTGTATTAAAACTCCTCATCGGCTCAAAAACTAAGCTCTAACCATTTTCTAATTGTAGTTTGACGTCGACGAGATTTTCTGAAGAGGACGAAAGTATTATTGTTTCGGCGACAAATACTGAGTAGTGTAGATCAGGTGGAGATGCGTAGAGGACGGAAATACGTTGTCCATTTCTCAGTGGAATGGTTAAACATTTTTGGTCAGCTAGAAGATGAATTTTGTTGGCGTTGATCCAGTCGTTACCAAGAAGCATTTGAGTAATTAAATTGGTGGCTACCTCTGCTAGGACAATTGTTTTGACATTGTTAGTTCTAATTTCCAGTTCTACTTGCCCGATGATATGAATAGTTGAAGGGTTGGCTGCTTCTGCTGTTTTGGTTTTGTAAATGAATTTTTTGTGGTGGATTTTCGTAGCAAATTCTCGTGAATGATGGTGATAGCGGATCCCGTATCGACAATTGCATGTGAAGGTTGATTGTTAACGAGAATCTTGATGTAAATTGGAGAGAACGATTTTGATGACTTCGTTAATTTACTGGGAACACCGCCATCTCGTGTCCCAGCTACTGAAAATGTGGTGGTTGTTGACAATCACGCACTGAGTGATTTTGTCCATAATTAAAACAACCAGATGGTTTTCGATGAACACAGCGAATCGACGGGTGATTACGTTTTCCGCAAACTTTACATGGTTCGAAACTATTCTGTTTCTGTATAACAGACGACCTCTGATCACTCGAATTTCGACGATTCTGAAAAGAATCTTCCTGAGCCGAGTTTGCCTTATTTCGCGAGCTCTGTGAATATGAAAAAGGCTGAACTTGAGAATAAGAACGAGGATCTCGATGTTGTTGAATTGCTGCTGTCAATGAATTCTGATCAGGATTGAAAGAAAAGTACGGTTTAGTTGGCTGAATAGACGACAGTTCAAAATTGCCGAAGGCTTGATTCAGATCTTCTTCTTTCTTTGCTCTGGCACGAAAATCTTGTACTTTATCGATGGATGGTTCTGAACGTGATAATTCCTTTCGGAATTCTAACTTAATACCACTCATTAAATATTTAACCATTTGAGGTTCTGACATACTTGGATCACTGTCACGACAAAGAGCAATTACATCGTCACAATATTGTGTGACTGATTCACCTTCTTGTTGCTTTCTTTGTTTCAATTCTTCGAATCTGGCTTGAGCAATTGTTGATGATAAGTAACGACAACGAAATGCCTGTTCAAATTGTGACCATGTGGTAATATCGGATTGGTTATCATCGAACCATCTTCCAGCAGAGTGAACCAATTTACCACGAGCGATTTCTAATCGTTCAACATCTTCTGTTATCCTTGCATTCGTTGTAATGATTTTGATGCTTTTCAGAAATCGTTCTGTATCTTCTGAAGATTGTCCGGAAAAACTGGGTAGATCTTCATAACGTTTCTTACGAGCTAACGTAAGAACTGAATCAGACATGGGAGGAGGTGGTAAGATAGTAGCCGTAGTTGTTGTGTGAGGAACTGTCGGATTTTCCGTGATTAACGATTCAGAGTCTGAATCTTGTGATGACAAGCCACTAACTCGTGATGCTGATCTTGTTCGATGACTAGTTGGTGTTGAATGTGTGATGATTTCGTTTGATAATAACTGTGCTTTACGTTCCAGCACCTGGTTCCTAGTTCC